AAAAAAAAAAAAAAAAAAAAAGCCTTACAGGCTGGTTCCCTGTGGTCCCCGCCTCCTTTCTCCAAAATGGTGCTAGAAATCTGCCGGAAGGAGGCTCAGCACTGGGGCGCTCATGCCCACAAGTGTGGGGCTTTGGCACCCCCTGGACTGGTACACTGGGTAGGGAGACCCCCTTGGGGCAGCGATGCCAGTTACCACCATGGCTGTGGCTCCTGGCCGGGGTCTGTGGCATGCGTCCTGTGTGCAGGGGCTGCTGTGTCCTTATCCACTGGCTCCAACAGCCCTCTGTGTGTCACTTTCATTAACCTCACTTTACAGATGGTGAAACTGAGGCTCCCATTCCAGGCAAGAGTGAAGGCATTGGCATGGTTTTCTGCCCTCTCTGGCAGCAAGAGCACGGAAGCTGGGCTGGGACTGTTCTGCTTAGGATGAGACCTGCACTCTCCGGGAACCAGCTCTCAGCATGAGATGCTGATTTCATGTAACTCTGATGCTCTCGTCCTCCAAGTCTCAAAACTGTCCTCTGTGAAGCTTGGGGCTGCCCCACACCTGGCCCAGCTGCTTAGAGTGGGACATGGCCAGGTGAGGACAGCCAGGCCAAGAAGGCCCTTGGAAGAGTGGAGTCAATCTGAGGCTGCGGAGGGAGACGCCACCCAGGCGCCAGCGCCACCGTGCCACTGTGCTGGCAGGGGTAAGGAAAAGAAGGCAGCAGAGAGGGTGGTGGCCGGTGCCCAGGTGCAAAGCCAGTGAAACAAATGACAGTAGCTTCCTGTGTGCCAGTCATGCCCTCATGCCAACCTTATGATGCCATTATTGCTGTTTTGTCCAGGTTACCAATGAAAGCTGAGGCTGAGTAACCTGCCCAAGGGCTCCAGGCTGGAGCAGGGGCCCACAGGACCCCACATGCTGGTGGGGGGATGCTCCCTCCCCTCCCCAGCAGCTGAGAAATGTCTGAGAACACTCCCCTCCCCGCTGCCCTGCCCAAGCTGGGAGTGGGCAGGTGGGGGCTGTGGCCTGGGGTTTGTTCTACAATTTTGGGTTTTCAGCTCAGGGCTGAGGGCTCCTTCCCGCCTGGTCTGGGATGGCCTCCTGGGGATCTGGGGTCCAGCGTCCCCAATTCCTGACCCAAAAGGGCTAATGATACACAGGAGGCCGCTGTCCACGCGTGGCGTCGGTGTCTGGGTGGTGAAGACTTCGCTCCACTTGCCTGCAAGGCAGCCCTACTCTCAGGGAGGCATCTGAATGGCATTTTAGATGTGAAGAAACTGAGATCAGAGTGAGGCCTCAGGCCCTTCTGACCCCAACTACGCCGAGGGGAGCGCAGGGGTGGTGGCCCGTGAACCCTGCCACAGGTGGGGCCTCTACAGACCCCGCCCAGCCCCCAACAATGCCCAGAGCCTGCTATGGGTCCCTCTCACCCCAAGCACTCCGGGCCAGGCCCCATCTGGATAGGAGGTAGGGGTCTATGATGGCTTTGGGGGAGGGGCAGGCTCTGGGCAGCCAGGGACACCAAGGTGCCAGGAGGTTAGCATGGCAGGGCTCAGAGACAGCGGGCGGGGCCCGTTCCCAGAAAGGGCCATCAAGGGAAGAGGGTATCCTGAGGGCTGGCTCAGAGGTTCTGCCCTCCTGAAAGCCAAAGTGAGGCCACGGTGCTGAGGGCCGTGGCAGGGCTGTGGCCGGGGATGCAGCTGCACCCCAAGCCCCTTCCACATGCCAGGCAGATCCGCAGAACCCCACAATCCTGCTAACAGGGTTGACATTGTGGGATTCTCAGAGGATGCCTGACTTGCCTGGAGTTATAGAACCAGCCCTGGGCAGAGCTGGGATTTGAATCAGGGTCTGACTCCAAGGATCGCGGTGCCCCCAAGCCACTGATAGGCAGGAAGGGGTATGAACCGAAAGTGACCCTGGGAAGCCCCAGACCTGCCCATTCCCCCAGATGCCCCATGTCTCCGGCAGGGCGTTCCTGGTTCTGACCTTCCTGGGGCAGCCCCAGTCGTGCCGGCTGTCAAGCCGTTTCTGGAGCATGGCACAGCGGACAGGCATGGCCCAGGCAGGCGAGTTCCAGCCTCCGTGTGGCGCAGGGAAGCCGGTGCCGCTCCGACACTCACTGTGTCGGTCCAGCAGAGCGCTGTGTGTGCATGGACGGCAAGACACCTACGGCCCAGGGACAGGCGGGGATGGGCTGGGGTGCTCGGTGCTCAGGGCTGACCCCTCCTCCCTTCGGCCGGCCAGTGCTGGCTGCAGGGGACGCAGAGACGACCGGATCCCAGCCTGGTGGGACATGAGTGTCGGGTGCACGGAGGCAGCCCCCAGAGAGGCTGAACGGCCAGGAGGCAATAGGGACAGGCTTTCAGGGAAGAGGCTGTGAAGAGGGGCGATGCCGGCGGCTGGGGCTGGGGATCTGAGGGTTTATGATGATGGGAGAGACTTGAACCTGTTTCAAGGTGCTGGGAAGGAGCCAGTAATGGGAGAAAGAGACAGAGAAAGCAGGGGAGAGGCAAAAAATCACCAACTGGAAAGAGACCCAGAGCCACCATCTGCTGGGCAAGCAAGGCCTGCCGCATCACGAAGCTGCGGTGTCCCGTCCGGGCCAGCCTTCCTCTGAGGCAGAGGCTGAAGTGAGGTGGGCAGGGCGTCTGGGCGTGGAGATGCAACCATCCCCATGGGCAGTGGGAAGCAGGTGCCCAACACACACGAGGTGTGAGTGGAATCCACAGTGGGCACCCACCAGGACCTTGGTAAGGCCAGATGATGTCACAGCAACTGTCAGGGGCAAAGGCTGCTCAGAGGGACTGCAGGGGCACTGCAAGAAGCAGGTGGGCCGCGCTGCACCAGGGGAGGAGGCCATGCGGGTGGTGGGGGCTGAAGTCACTGGGGCCACTCTGCTGGGTCACTCAATTGCTCAGAGGCAGGCAGTGTTCGTGCAAGGCCTCTGGAGACCCCTGCAAAGCCCCTCTGGCTTCCCTGTGACCTCAACTGCACACAGCAGGCTGAAGGAAGGAGTGGAGGGGATGGGACTCAGGGCAGGGGCCACTGAGAGAGCAGTTGTTCCCACTGAGAGCCACCACCCAGCACTGGGAGCCGGGAGCGTCACTCCATGGAGGTCTGGATGCGGCAGTGGAGTGGGGGCTGAATGTGGGGGGCAGAAGCACGACTCTGGGGGAGTAGACCCCACTGTTACCTCCCTCAGAAGGGCAGACGGACCTTATGGTACTGGGGAAGTGGTAGTACCACCAGACACGTCACCCCGGGGTCACCAGAGCCACCAGGCCCCTCTGTACCGACTATCACAGGGCAGCCTCGCTCTGGAGGCTGGGGACTGCCCCCATGTAACCCTCCCGACCCCTCCTCCATGGGCACCCTCAGACCCACATTAGGGGCGAGGGGACAGAGGCACAGGGAGGGCAGGTCACAGCCCCAAAGGTGCATGGCTGCGCGGCCCGAGTTCCCTCTCACGTTGGTGCTCAGTGACTCCGGCTTCCAAAGCTGGTCTCGGAGCCAGGGGCAAGAGGGTCCGGGTCTGCCCCACCCTGCCTGTGTGACTGTGTGACCCCGTGGACTGTCCTGCAGAGGGAGGGACCCTGTGACTGGTCCATGTGTCAAGCCTGTGTCGTTGGAGGGATTCTTCCCCTAAGCCCTCAGCTCCATTCCAGAGGCACAGGAGACAGAAACGGAGGGTGGGCAGCTTGCTCTTGCGCCACCCAGGACGGCCCTGACGTTCAATCCTGGGAGGCCGCGTGTCCTCTGGGCCTTGGCAACTCCAGGGACAGCATGGGGAGGGGCCCCGTGGGCTCTGGGTGGGGCTGGAGCCTGAAGATGCCAGGTGAGTGGGAGAAAGCTGGCATAGGGGCCCCCAGCAGGAAGTCTCCTGGGACAGGGTGGGTGAGTCCAACCTGCCTTGGCCGGACGGTGCCTCCACTTCCCCCACACAGCCCGGAGGACTCTGCAGATCATCCCGAGACTGCAGACGAATTAGGCCCATGCTGTAGCACTAGAGAGACAAGGGGCTCCCTGCCTGCCTGCATTACTGTCCTTTGGAACCCCACGCTCCCCACCCTGGCTGGGCTGGCCTCTTACCATGTCCACGGCCACCTTCATGGCCTCCTGCAGCCCAAAGAGCTTCCCGGCCACCAGGTAGACGCCACCGGTCCACACGGCGCAGGCCTCGTGCACCCAGTGCTCCTGGGCCTCCCCGCCGGGCTCTCCCGGGGCCTCCTTGCTGCACTCGTGTCTTCGGCCCTTGTCGGCTGGGGCTGCCTCCTCGCCCCCGTCCTCCCGGCCATCGCAGCAGTAGCAGCTCTGCAGCCTCCGGGACAGGCCCCGGGCACTGGTGCGCAGTGGGCCCTGCTTGGCCAGGTCGGCTGGGCCATCAGGCCTGGGGGGCTTTCCGGCGGCGGCGGCAGCTGCGCACTCGGGGCCTTTGAGTGTTCTCTCGAGTGGCAGCGAGGCTTCCTCGCAGGTGCTCTCCGGCCGCACCTTCTCCTTGAGTTTTGGCTTCTTTTTGGGGAGGCAGTGTTCGGGGTAGTAGGGCCCACAGAGGTCCCCGAGGTCCTTGAAGTTGGCCGGGTTTTGGCAGAGGCAGCAAACAAGGCAAGAGGTACTCAGGGCCTTGGAAACCACAGGCCCCAGGTGCATGGTGGAGGAGAGGGGCAGGGAGGGCCGAGGCTGCAGGATGGAGCCTCCAGGGAGCGTGGCCAGGGAGGCCCCGGCTGCATCCAAGGAGAACGAGGATGAGGATGAGGAAGAGGAGGCAGAGGAGGAAGGCTTCCTGTGGGGCTTGGGTGCATCTCCAGGGGAGTTGACAACAGTGCATATGGTGGTGAACGCATCTCGCTTCTCCACGCGCACGAAGGGTGAGAAGGCGGGGATTCGACTGTCTGACCTCAGCCGCTTGCACGACGAAATGTACTTGAGGCGGATTTCAGGCTCTGCGGGATCCAGGGGCAGCACCTGCTGTTGCCGCCGCCGCTTGGCTCGCCCCTTGCAGGGTGAAGAGGTGGTGTTCTTGGCCCGGCCCCGAGTGAGGCGCTTCCGCTTGGAATAGCTGCTGTAGTTGGCATGGCCTGGCTGTTTCTGTGCCCTTGTCTGGGGCTGGCAGGGCCTGCCCTCGGGGGGCTGGGAGGCCAGGCCCAGCTCCTCCATCTTTGGCTTCTTGCCTCCTCCGCCAGGGCTGTCCTCGCCGGCCCCTTGGGTGCCACCGGCCCTGTCTCGGGGAGTCAGGAGCAGAGCCGGGCCAAGATAGGGCCGCTTTTCCAGGGGGCCTTTGGAGAGCCCGAGGGCTCCCGCCCGGCCTTTCCGACTTCGCTTCTTAGGTGCCAGGGCGGTCCCCCCAGGCTGCAGGACCTCCGGGGACGTGAAGGCCTCGGTTTTGAAACAGTCAGTCGAAGACAGTTTCTTACTGTTCATGAGTTTGCCTTTTAAGGATCTGTTGGTCAGATTTCTGCATAACGGATCGGCAACAGAAGCCGCTGGGAGCTTCTGCCCGGTGCCCATGCTGATCAGGCCTTCTTCGGCCCCCACCGGGCTGCCCCCAGCACCCTTGAGCCCACGGTCCTTCTCAGGAAGGGATGGGCTCAGAGGATGACCGGGAGCGGGCCCCGGCGCTTTGCATGCAAACTTCTTGAGGCTGGGCGAGGTGATCTTCTGCACGATGGCTTCCAGCTTCAGGCCCCGGCCCTTCCGGGGCGGCAGCACCTTGGTCTTCATGGCCCCCTGGAAGGCCGCCCGAGAGGCGAGCTTGAGGCAGGCGTCGGGGGCCTCGGGGGGTGGGGGCTTTGTGGCGGGCTCGCCATTGCCCTTGGTGGGCTTGGCCTTCTTGGGAGAAGACATCCTCTTGAAGAGGGTGGGGGTGCCCTCGGGCCCCTCCTCCTTCCCATCTCCCCCGTTGCCGCTGGCATTGCTGCTGCTGCGGCTCCGCAAGACCAGGTTCCGCTTCTTGGTGGGGACCGGCGCCATGAAGGCCGACTTCCTTTTGAGCGCATGGAGGGGCCGGTCAGAGAGCTTGCTGCCTGCACCAGGCTTGGGGACCCTGGCCCGCTGGCTCACCCTGCCCTCCTTCTGGGGGCTGCCGGAGACCTTGAACGTGGCAGGCAGGTGGCTGTTGTCTAGGAGCTTCTTGGTGGCCCGGCAGTTGGGGAGCCGGCCCTCGGAGGGCCTCCGTCGCTTGGAGTGGAAGATCTCCTGGGTTTTGGTGCGTGACCGAAGGATCATGGAGCGCTGGTCCTTGCCAGGTGTGCCGGGCGAGTCCGTCTCCTTGGTCTTGGAGCCCATGGGACTGCTGTCGGAGGCCACAGGCAGGGCGGCCGGGTTGCTGGGGCTGGAGGCGGCCTTGGGTGAGGGCTTCCCCACCCGCTTGCCCGACTTGAAGGCGGCTCGCTGCTTGCCCGCCAGTTTGTCTGGGGGTGCAGGGGTGGTGGTCAGGCCTGGGGGCCCGGGCGTGCGGGGCTCACTCAGGGCCGTGAGAGAACGAGTGCACATCCTGGGGAGCCCCTCCGAGGCCCCCCGGCCTGGGGCTCCAGCCCCTTCCATCTGTCCCGGCGGGGGTCCCGTGCAGGATTCAGGGAGCAAGAGGTCTTTGGGCAGCGCAGGTGCCCTGCACGGGGAGTCCTCCGCCTCGGGCAGCCCCCGGTGTACCCGCCGGCTCCGTAAGCTTTTGCCCCGTGGCACAGGCTCTTTCTTCGCGATGGGCGCCTCAGGCACAGCAGGCTTGTTGGGCTTCTGGGCCAGAGAGGTGTCCGAGGTGGCAGAATCCCCCGGAGCTCGCTCCCCGTCGGGCCCCTCTTCACCAGGCTTCATGTGGGACAGCGAAGACTCAAACCAGCTCTGGACCTTTGACTCGGTGCCCACGGTGGGACCCAGCAGGATGACAGACTCCCCTGAGAGGTGGCACGGGGAGCCCCAGCCGGCCTTGGAGTCCAGCACCTCCTCCACCTCCTCCTTGGTGCAGATGAGCGGGGCCTTGGGTGACAGCGGGTCCTGCATGCCAGGCCTCTGCTCGGGGCTGCCCAGGAGCTCACACAGGGAGGAGTACTCCTCCTCAGCCTCCAGGTCCTCCTTCCTGCTGGTGGGCGGCAGCAGCGGGAGGTCCCCGAAGTCGGCGGTGGAACAGCAGTGCCGGCTGTCCTCCAGCCACCGATCAGCCTTGCCCACGTCGGGGCACTGCAGCAGCCCGCCTGCCTCCTCCTTCACCCCACCCGCCTCCTCCTGCTTGAAGTCCCCAGGCAACGAGACCACCTTCTCCCCCGGGGGCTCCTCCTCCTGGAAGCCCAGGCAGGCCGAAGCCTCATGGGCGTCCCCTTTGCTGACACCGTCCGAGGCCTTCCCACCCTGCTCCAGGCCCTTGGTGAGGTCACCGGGGTGCAATCCCCACCTGGGACAAGCATCCCCCAGGTTTTCCTCTGGCCAGGCAAAGGGGTTAGCACTGTCTGCCGAGCTGACAGCAGTCGAGTCTGGGAAACAGTCAAAAGCTGCTGCGGTAGGGTCTGGAGCCGTCACCCCAAGGGTGGGCTTCGTGCCAAAAGAGAGAGGACCAGTTGTCTTTTTGGGGTCAGGGGTAGCGAAGGCCACGGAAGGGTCTTCGAACAGCCCTGGGCTGAAGTCCTTGGTGGTGCCACCCTTGTCCAGCTGCAAGGGGTCGGGCAGGGCCTCCGGCTCCCCAGGCCGGGGCCACGCACCCTTGGCCACAGAGTCCAGGCAGGCGCTGTGGTTCTCCAGAGAGAAGGGTGGCTTGCTGCTGTCCTTGGCCAGGCTGGATGCTTCGGCCCAAGCTTTGTCGGCCTTCTCGCCGATGGCTTCCTGCAGCCCCAGGATCTCGGAGGCCAGGTCCTCCTGTGCCAGGGCGCTCAGCAGCAGCCGAGGACAGTCCCGCTCGCCCGCCACGAACTTGGAGAAGCTGTCGAGCGGCAGACTGCCATGCAGGCTCTGCAGGGAGTCGTCAGATTTGGTGGACATGTCGTCAGGAGAAGTCACAGAACAGGTGGACACGGACTCGGGCTTGGCCTTCGAGTTGCTGTTGACCCTGGCAGGGCTGCCACGGGCCTGGCTGCAGTAGAGGAAGCTGCGCTCCAGCGGGTCCTCGGAGCCGCTCAGGTAGTCGGCCTCCTGCGGCTCGGCGTGCGTGGACTGCGGCGTGCTGCCCAGCGGCTCCGACAGCGGGGTGCCCGCGGGCTCGGCCGAGTAGCCGCTGCCTTCGGGGCTGCAGTGCTGGCTTTTGTGCTGCTCCGGGGTCCTGGACACGAGGTTTTTGACGCCTTTCTTTTGCGGCACGGCAGCCTTGGACAGCAGCAGCTGCTGGACGGTGCTGGAAATGTTCTCCACCTGTGAGGTCAGCGCCGTGAGGCTCTGCAGGCTGAGGTCCGACAGCAGGCTCTCAGGGAGCTTGTCCTTCTGCAGCGGCTTGCCGTTGCCGGCCTGAGTGTCCACGGAGCTGGTGGCATCCGTCGGGGAGGGGTTGAGCAGGGGCATGAAGTGGCTGTGGTCTGTGATCCCCGCGGGAAAGGCCCCTGTGCTCAGCGGCTGCTGGCTGTAGGGGAAGTTCTCCAGGTTTGGCATCAGCGGCGACGGAGTGGAGCTGTAGGAGGGGGAGCGGCCCACGGAGCGGGCGGGCGAGTGGCTGGAGCTGGGGCTGAAGGTCTGGTAGTACTGCTCCGGGGTCCGGACTGCGGCGTCCGGCTGGCAGTAGCCCTGGCCTTGCTGCCCGTAGTGCTGATACTTGGCGAGGTTTTGGTAATGGAGGGTTTCCTGGGCATGGTGCCGGCTCTGAAGAGCTTGCTGCTGCTGCTGCTGCTGGTGGTCATAGCTGAGGCGGCCTGACTGGTAGGCGTGAAGACTCTGGACCCGCTGCCCCGGGGCCAGGCTGGAGCTGGCGGTCAGCGGCCTGTCGTGGGGCTGGGCAGTCGGCGCCGTGCAGCTCTTATAGGAGTGGGCCCCCTGCCCACCGCCCTGGACGGAGGAGGAGTAGGTGGAGGAGGTGGGGAAGGACTGGGAATGCTGGGGAAAGTGGGTGCCCTGGGGGAAGGGCAGAGGGGAGGCAATGTCATTCTGCAGCTTCTGCCTTTGCAGCTTGGGGTATGCCAGGGGCTGCTGGGGCAGCGGTGGCTGCTGGACGTGCAGGGAGTGAGTCCGAAAGGGCACCTGGGCGCCCTGCTCTGCATACTGCCTGCTGGGGGCCACTGCCGTCTTTTTCATTAAGTTCTCATCATACTTGCCCACCCCCGCTGGCAGGGGCTGCGGCTGTGGGGGTGGTGGCTGCGGGGCCCCCCAAGCCTGCAGGCTCTCCTCACCAGCATAGCGGCCTGGGTAGGGGCTGCTGTCCTGGGCGCCGTAGCCGGGGAAAGCTGGCCTCCCCTGCAGGGCCTGCTGCGTGGGCAGGGCCTTGCTGCCTCGGTGGTACTTGTCAGCAGCCACCGTGGCCGCTGTGCCAGAGGGCGTGCCGGTGCCACCCTCGTAGCTCGGGTAAGGCTGCGGGTTATAATAGTCCTTGGCGAGCAGCCGCTGCCGGTCACAGCTTAGCCCGGCCTGACTCGGCTGCCTGTAATTCTCCAGGCGTGATGTTTCCTGCGAGGTCTGCTGGTAGTTCTGTTGTTTGCCATGGAAACCACACCTTTCTCGAAAAGACTGCATGACTCGGGCTGGTTATCTGTGAAAAGAAAAAGGGAGGGAGGGAGGGAGAGAGGGAGGACAGGCAGGGAGGGGGCAGAGGGATGAGTGATTCAGATGGACCACTTCCTTTTGCCTCAGAAAGCACCCTCCCACCCACCTCCCCACCCTGCCTGCTCCCCCGCATAGCTCTTAATATTCCCCCCTTCGCCTGAGCGTCCCCACCAGCTGTGCACATATTGACAACTTCTGTGTCAGGGAGGTGTGCTGTGTAATTCCCGCTCCCACACTGCCTGCAGCTGAGCCTTGCCAAGGATGGCCACCGACGCAGGAGGCAAAACTGGCTGCCCAGCGCCAGGTCACTGGGGAGCTACCCTACCCCCTGCCCCCTCCGCCAGCTCCTCCCCACTGCCCCCCACCCACCACGCCCAGCCCTTCCTGACAGCTCAAAAGCATTTAGCAGAGCAATTCCTGCTCCCCTGTCCCCCAGGGACTGCTGGATCCTGTAATCTAGTCCCTGCTCAGCCATGTTCAAGCGTGACCCAGCCATGCTGGGGACCGAGGAGGGTTTGCCCCTGCCCCAGGGAGGCCGCCTGAGCGCACGCACAGACATATGTATGCTCATACACACGCACACACGCATGCACACACACCTCCTCGATCACTGCCACGCCATCTGGAATCTGTCTGTTCCTTCCAGCAGACGTCGATTAGGGGCTGCCAAGCCACCATAGACATAAAACGTCCCCTCCTCTGACTCTCAGGAACGAAAGACAGCAGCACCTGCCTCCCGTTTTTGATATCATAGGTGCATAAACAGATTACGTGGCCCAGAGTGAGGGAGTGCATACTAATGGGGCTAGAGATGCAGTCCCACGGCCACGGAAGGGCACAGCTCACCACCCCCAACCCCCCGTACTGGGGGACGAAGCCCTGTCGCTCCTGGCCAGCCCCTCCCCAACTCTGCAGGAGAGGGCTGGGGCAGGCAACACCCACGAGCCCATCTGGTTATGATTTTAGGGCTCGGGACCCAGGCGGGGGTCTAACCTGCCCCTGCCCCCAAAGCAGAATCCTGGGTCAGGAAAGGAGCCGGGGTGGGTTGGGGGAGTCTTTCCGAGCAGAGCATCTGCCGGTCCGGCGTCCAGCTTCCCCCAGCTGACTCGCTGGCCTGGCCACCCCAGAAGACCCCTAAAAGAGGGATGGAAGAAAGAAGGAAAATGGCCCAGGTTTTGGAGGAAGTGCACGGAGGGTCTCGCCATCGGCCGAGTCCCAGAAGGCTTGGGATTTACCCAGAACCACGCTGGCCCGGAGGCAGGAAGAAGGGGGCCCAGCTTGGCCTGTGTGGCCCAGGCCCCCAGGGGGACAGGGGACTTTCTAGTGCTAGTTCCCAAATGCTCCAAAAGGAAGGGGTGACCTGCCTCCGGCTACAAACACTCCAGGTTGTTGAAGGGGTCAGGAAGGGGCACAGAGAAGGAGAGGCATGCAGAGTCAGGGAGGGAAACAGGAAAGAGTAAGGGAGAGCTGTGGGCGGCTGCTACGTTCACCCCTCTTCCTTCGCCCAGACCCCACCACAGGTGCCTTCCTCATTCAGTGTCTAGGGATGGATGCAGGGAAGGGGACAGAGGGCCTCCATGTGCCTGAGAGCAGGGCAAGCCCAGGGCAGCCAGACGGCCCCCAGGAGCCAGCCCATCAGCCCAGGACACCCAGCCCAGTGGGGGGCCGGCCACTTTCCTGAGAGGCAAGCCCCTGCCCACTGGCTCATCAAAGCCGCTTCCCTCTGCTCCCCCTCCTCTCCCTGGATTTGTCACAGGCATCCCTAACAAGCCTCACGCCCGCCCTTCTGACCCACTTCAATCCTACCCCTGGCGGCTCGGATAAAACATTACAGGAGGTTCCTGCTGCGACGTGCCAGCCCAGAGGAGCTGGGAACGGCGCTTGGTTCAGGTCTGGCAGCTCCCTGCCAGCTGGGCAGCCCCTCGCTCCTGCCCTGGCCAGATCGCCACAGGGCAGCCCAGGCGATCCTGTGCCCAGGCCGACGGCACGGCGCCCGCTCCCTGCCCTCCCCAGGCGCATGTTTATGAGCCCAGAATGTGCAAACCCAGGACCACTCTGAAGCCTGCGCCTCGTATATCTGCACAAATTACATTTCGGCTTTTATTAGTCCCAGATCACTCTCATTTCCTGCTGAGTGTCCTGTGGATATCATTAACATTTCTACGGCTTTATTTTTTATTTTTTTTCACATTCTCCAAAATGCATTACCAGAAACATTATTTAAAGAGAGACAGACAGAGACAGAGATGGGGGCTCTTACCAGTGTCCCCTCCCTGCCTGTCCGTCTGCATCCCTCCCTCCCTGTTTAATCGTCCAGCTGCTGCGTCTTTTAATTTAGCCGAGCTGTATTACAGGCAGGTTTCCCAATACACACGAGCAGCTGGATGCGGTGAAAGCATCTATCGCTAAGAAAAGACAGTTCAATTAAAACACGAGACTAGTACTGATGGAGAACGCAGGCAAAAATGCTCACCCCAACACCACCCCAAAACCCAAGGCAAAGGGAGGGATGGGAACAAAGGCACAGGCTGCCTCTCAGTGCCAGCCAGGTCCCACCGCCAGCTCTGCTGGGAGAAAATGGGGCACTGCCTCTTTAAGGGCTGCCTCAGGCCTGCTGTGGGCTCTGTTGTTATTAATTGTTGTGATTATGATTACTTTTCATGAGCACTAGGACAGCGCTAGGGAGAGGCAGGCAGTAGGGCTGGGCTGGGCTGGGTGGGCCTCAGAAGAGGAGTGGGCAGAAAGAGGCTCCCTGGCAGAGTGATGGTGACCTTTGAACCTGGAGGCGGGGAGGAAGTGGCCTATTGGGCACACTGTGGGTTTGGCTGTGGCTTGGGCTGGAGGGAGAAGGGGTGGTGGGTGGGGACTGGCGACGGCACCCCCCTTCCCCCTGGGCTCGCTCCTCCTTGTGGTCCAGCTCAACCACACTGCGCAGAGAGTCCTCACTCACTCCCACCCATCCCTTTCTGGCCCACCTGCCTCTCCTCCCAGACACCCGGTCCAGGCCTTATCTCCAAAGTTCTTGCTGAAACTAGAAGGCAGGAGGGATGGCGTCTGGTGCATCCTCTAAGCACCAGATACAGGAAGACTTCACCCTCAGAAGCAGCTCCTAGAACTTAGCCTTCTAGCGCTGGACAGTGGAGGCAGGCCAGGCACAGCGGGAGCAGGAGCTGGGGCCACACAGCACTCAGAGCACCAGGATTTCCTCAACACAGCAACGGGAGTCCCCACTCCAAGCCGTGAAACAGTGGGGGCACAGCCCTTCTTTTAGGCAAAGACTCCGGCCCTTCCCGTCCAGAAATCTACAGGGCTACAGGGGCAGGGGCAAGGTGTTTGCAGACACCTACTCTGTGGGGCTTCTCCAGCAATGCTTTGATTAATCCTCTCCTCCCCCTTTACAGAAAAAAGTGAGCTTCAGAACGCGTGCCCTGCTTAGGACCCCAGCGAAGAGCCCACCCACAGTGACGCTCCATGGCAGGATGCCCTCAACAGCAGTGGCAGTGACTGGACCCCTGGTGGACACCCCTGTCCTGAGCCCTGCCGAGGGGTCCCACTTTGGAGGATGCTCTCTTGGAGCAGGTGCAAGCCACAGCTGCTGTGGGGCAAGGCGCTGAGCTGCAGCCCGCGACGCCGAGCCCCAGGCTGGGGGCCTCGCTTGTATTTTTATTCTGTCCTCATCTTTAAGTAGCCAGACCCACCTCGGGTGGGTCCACTAATGGGCAATGATGGTCACCAGCTGCCCGCTGTCACCAAGGCAACTGCTGTCCCCTGGGCACCTCAGGGAGTGGTCACTAGGCCTAAAGCCTCCTCAGACCCCAGGCTTGAGCCCCTAGTCAGGGAAATGGGCACAGTGTGGGGCAGAGCTGCTGTGGCTCCTAGGGAGCCCTGCTGAGAGGCAGTGGCTGGGACTTTTTCCTGAGAGAGGGAGGCGGGGAGGGAGGGAGAAACGGGGCTGGGGGCTTCCTGATCCCCAGCAGTAGCTCCGAGGCCTGGTTCTATCCCACCTACTTACCCAAGGTGGCTTTATGATCTGGTTTCCTGATTTGCAGCTGCAAGAAAAAAATGGAAAAACCCAACCCACTCAAGGCCTAGGAATCTCAGGAGGAGTATACCAGGGCTCAGGAAGCTGAGGAAAGTCCAGGGAGGCGTGGGGAAGGTGGAACCCCTCGGGCCTCCCCACCTGTTGAGGGTGATGAATACCCGATACAGGAGACTTGGTGAAAATGAGGAATGGTTGGCCGAAGTCACTGCTGTCCTGTGGGCACAATTCCATATCCCCGGGGCCTGGTGTGAACGGGGGGAAGGGGGCGAGTTTCCAAGGAGCCCACAAGACAAGAAGGTCGTGTGCTCACAGGCCTCTGGGACAGGTTAGGGTCCGTGGGCTGGGAGGCGTGCTTGGGGCAGGTGGAGGACCCTCCTAGGACATCAGGAACCCCAGAAGACCAGGCAGCCCCTCCAAAGCTTGGCCTCTCTACAGCACCCCCTGTGGGCAATGCTTGGATATTCGTCCCGCCTCTCCTCATTCACGGCCTTCATATCATGAAGGAATCTCATGGGGTGACCAACACGCCCTCTAGGTAGAGTCTGGGAGTCCCAAATACCGGGAAGCCAGTGATGGGGTGAGAAGCAGGAGGGCAGCCCCAGCCAGCCCTATTTGGAAGTTGGGGGAGCCCTGGTGTGGCTGGGGACTCTGGGCTCTTCGGGGTACACCAAGTGGAGGTGTCTGGGCTCTCCAGGTGTTGGAGAAGCCTCCCCTCACAGCCCCCAGTGCCATCTCCTCCTGTTGTGGACTCGCCCCCTTCCCCCCGTTCACACCAGGCCCCGGGGATATGGAATTGTGCCCACAGGACAGCAGTGACTTCGGCCAACCATTCCTCATTTTCACCAAGTCTCCTGTATCGGGTATTCATCACCCTCAACAGGTGGGGAGGCCCGAGGGGTTCCACCTTCCCCACGCCTCCCTGGACTTTCCTCAGCTTCCTGAGCCCTGGTACGCTCCTCCTGAGATTCCTAGTTGTGGGGACAGCTGACACCTGCTGAGCTACCTGAATGGAACCCACCTGCTGGCCCAGCCCCACCTGCTGTTCCTGGGCACGGCCAGGCCCCCTGCCTAGTGCCCAGGTCTCCTAACGCTGAACCTGTGCCCTCCACTCCCACATCACCGACCCTTGGTGCCTGTTCCTGGGATGCAGCCATCAAGGGGCCTGGAGACCTGGGCCCCACAGTCCAGGGATGAGGGGCAGATGGCCAGGTGTCCCACCTCTACTGTGAGGTGGGAGGAGCAGGAAGGGATTCCGCAGCAGCCGCAGGCATTCCAAGGCCCCCCATTCCAAGCCCCCACGGAGGAGGCTGCGGGAAGGAGCTCACCTATTATCAGCTCTGTACTGATAAGTCTCTTGTGGACAATAATTTTTTTTTTAGATCACTTTATTGACCACTGAACAAAAAGCATCACCACCTCTCCGTGTCTCCGTCAAAATGAAGAAAAGACAAAGAGGGGGGTGTTGATTGCTGGGACGCAGTTAACAGGGCCAGGGTCTGGTGGACCAGGCAGCTGTCCAGGTCCTGCAGGGGACACAGCCTCTGTCCCTCCCCAACCAGGCCAGGCTGATGCCATCACATACAATCGGTCCGAGGCCTAGCAAGACCAAGGGGCTGGCTCAGACTCTGGCACAGGGGTCAGATGGGACTCACAGAGGTGCTCCCAGCCAGCTCCGTTCTCCCCACCCCAAGCCCCAGCAGTTTCTGCCTTTGTGCGAGGCCACACGATAAGGAGGAGATAGACTTGGTGTGGCTGCCGGCTTTGAAAGGAGGCACAGGACCCTCCAGCCCCAGCCTTATCCTCTCCACCCCACGTGCCCGGAGGGTCCATGACTTACTTCCCTTCGGAAGTGAAAACACAGAGGTGCCCAGCCTGTGAGCTTGTCTGACTGCTGGCTGTGTGACCTTGGGTGAGCCTTTACGTCTGGAGATGTCACTCCCAGATCTACACGTCTCTCCACCCTGGCTCCTAGTCTCGGCTCCTCACCTTCTCAAGAAGCCTTCCCCCACCACGGTTAGAAGCAGCACCCCTCGCGCCCCCACGACGACCTGTCGTAGTCCAACCTGACTTGCTTTATTACTGGTCTCCTCTTTAGAACAAAAGTTCCACGAGAGCAGGGATTTCTGCCTGTTTTGTTCACAGCCTATTCTCCATTGTCCAGAACAATAAATATTTATTGAATGAATACTGCACAACATGCCACAGTAACCCTGTGAAAATACCCAGGAGCCATGGAGTGGCAGCACAGGGCACACGTAGGGGGCCAGGCGGCGGAGTCAGGGGCCGCCACTGCTGTGCTTCATTCATTCTACAAAGAACATCTTCCGGAAGCTTGGCAGGGAAGTGGGCAGGTGGGTACGAAGGCAAACTGGCAATCCTGCTCCCAAATAAAGTGGAGGGGGGGCAGCAGCACCAGCAGACTGTGGCCACTGGGGAGTGGGAGGTCAGGGTGCCAGAGCTTCTGAGTTTTCCCTTGAAAAAGTCAGAAATCGGGATTTTATAAAAAGGGATCTCTCATTTAAGAAAATGTTATCAGGCCGGGCGCGGTGGCTCAAGCCTGTAATCCCAGCACTTTGGGAGGCCGAGGCGGGTGGATCACGAGGTCAAGAGATCGAGACCATCCTGGTCAACATGGTGAAACCCTGTCTCTACTAAAAATACAAAAATTAGCTGGGCATAGTGGTGCATGCCTGTAGTCCCAGCTACTCGGGAGGCTGAGG